GTAGTAGTAGTAGTAGTAGTAAAACACTGCTGCTACTACTACTACCACTACTACTACGACGACGACTACTACTACTACTCCTCCTCCTCCTACTACTACTACTACTACTACTACTCCCCTGCTGCTGCTGCTGCTGCTGCTGCTGCTGCTGCTGCTACTGCTACTGCTTTTTCTGCTGCTACTGCTACTGCTGCTGCCAGTGCTGCTGCTACTGCTACCTGCTACTGCTCCTGCTCCTGCTCCTGCTCCTGCTCCTGCTACTGCTACCGCTACTGCTACTGCTACTGCTACTGCTACGGCTGCCGCCGCTGCTGCTCCTGCTGCTGCTGCTGCTGCTGCTACTGGCTACTGTTGCCGCTGCTGCTGCTGCTCCTACTACTACTACTACTACTACTACTGCTACTACTACTACTACTACTACTACCACTACGACTACTACTAGTACAACTACTAGTACTTCTACTTCTGGGCCCATCGTCATCCGCAAATGTGCGAGTGTGGTTCACCTAAGCCCTCCATGCAGGCTCATTGTCTCCGCGAGTCCGAGAAGTGCGCAGTCAGGCACATGAAAGCTGCGGAGGCCAGTCGGGGGCGGTACGGGCAAGAAAGATGCAGGGTACACGAAGCTCTTCTGTGGCACGTCCTGAGAGCATGGATTCCACCAAGCCACCGCATGGTGCCTCCCTACTGCATGGCATGATACTGCACAAGTTCAGATAATCCTCAAGTGAACGGGGCACACCGAAGGCGGAAGCAGCTGCCGTACGCCAGGCGATGGCATTGCAGGTGCGATGATGTTCGCATGAATCAATTTGTCACTGAAATTTAGGATTACTATGGATTACTCTCTTGATTCAGTCAGAAGTGCATCAGATTATTTGCTAGGGAGATGGGGGTTCCGTGGTAGGTTCGATCGGAATCAACTGATGGCGAAGTGCAGTCTTTTCTTGGACTGGGATGTAAACTTGTGTCCTCTATGCGTGCGCCTGCAAAAGATTGATTTCAGAGTGTTTGGATATTCTGAGGCTCAAGGGGCTTAGCTTGATGCAGGAGTTTTCCACCGGAACGCATTTCCAGTGTGGGGTGCAGTCCCAATGGCAGAATTATGTTGAGGGGCTGTTAAGTGTTGCCGCCAAAGAAAGACTGCTTCGATGGAAACGACGCAAGCCATGTCAATGTCCGGAAATGTAAGCTCTGTGCCAAGCGGAGTTGTTGATCGCTCATGCAAATGCTCGGGTAAGCGATAGTCAGCCAACATGAACATCAGAGAACCTCGCATTGGCTGCCCTGACCGTCGGAAGAGCAGCAGAGCCCGATCTTCTCAATGTTCACCTGCGAAGATGCCGTCAGACCCCCTTGCCCATTGCCGTCCTGTTGGGGCAACGAGCTGTGATGCAGTTATGCCTCAAGCCCGAAACCTTGGCATCAGTTGATCCCATTGTGCTGTAAACTGCTAGATATGCCAACACGGATGTATATCCGACACAAAGAGGTATGCTACGTCCTGTATTTACAGGTTTTGGCTTGTCTTCGGCCTTGCATTCAATCTCGTATGCTGCAGGCAGCTGTCTCGGCACCGGAGAAGCCGCAATCGCCAACCAAAGACACCAAGGCCGCTTGCAGGCTTTTGGTTGGGTTTCGGGGCTTACTTTGCCCAGCTCGGGCCTCAATTTTGAGTTTAGCGGCTCAGCGTTTTGTTTTTGTAGCCTTGACGCAAGTTTGTCTGGCGACCGTGCACCGTCCTGAACATTGAGGGCCCTTCACCCTCCGCTCCAGCTTGCCAAGGAAGCGGAGAGCCCCGCCATTGCGGCAGAGCCGGTGTCCCAGAGGCCCGGGGTCGACCGTCGGAGGGGGATTGAGTGCAGCTTTCAAGCGGCACTGCAAAGCCACAGAACTCCAGAGCATTGTGCAGCCAGAGCTTCCGGATGTCGTAGAGTCTCGACCCGCTTGCAAAGGTGCTGTATGAGGTCTAACAACAGCCACTACGACTTTTTCCTCTTCTTACTACTAATTACTAATGCTACTGCTGCTGCTTCTCCCACAACCATTACTACTCCTGCCACCACCACCACCACCACGACGACGACTGCTACTGCTACCACAACAACAACAACTACTACTACTACTACTACTACTACTACTGCCACTACTACTACGACGACTACTACTACTACTACCACCACTCCTCCTCCTGCTGCTGCTGCTACTACTACTACTACTACTGCTACTTTCAATGCTCCTACTACCTGTACTAGTACCACCTCTACTGCTAGTACTACTACTACTGCTGCTACTACTCCTACTACCTCTCCTGTTGCTGCTGCAACGACGATGCCGCCGCCACCAGTTCGGGCACTGCCGTGGCCAGTGCCACCACTTAATGTAGGCTTACTAGTAGTGGCGTAGTTCTCTAAATTAGGGTCTCTTTTTAGACCCCGAAGAAAGTACGGCACCCTTATAAAAAGGACCCCAGAAGGGACGCTAATTTCGAGAACTACCCAGTCAGTGCTATTCGTAGACTGCAGGAGCGGCTCCCTGAGGCACGCGCAGAGACTCGTGTGCTGGGGCTGTTTGAGGGACTGCTCTGCTTGGTTTAGGGTTAAAGGGTGTAGGGTTTGGGGTGCCGGAGTAGTGCAGCCATGGTGTGCGGACGATCCAACTTTAGTCTTGATGCAGCATGAATGCCACATCTGTGATGTTCGCGAGACTGCATAGCTCCCTGCTTCCATTGACGACCTTGGTGTTCGGAACTCCGCAATGGCAGGTTAGCTTTGGCAGATCTTGTGCAGCAGGAGGACCCTGAAGTGCATCACATGTCTGCGCCCAGTGGAGCAACCAGCTTCGAGCTTCGGGTTTTCATGGGTTTTCAATCCTGGACCGAAAACAATACGGGGCTTGTGCACGAAGGAAAATCGGCAAGCCTGAAACTTGTCATCACGTCAGTTGCTGCGCATCGCGCTTCATTCTGGAGGCTTTACAACAGGAACTGAAGCCAAAGCCACAGACCACTTCTCCAGTAGAAGCGCGGGGGAGGGTCTTCTGGCAGGCGTGTCGGTCTTTGATTATCATCTCAAGCGCTCGGTTGCGAGGACACCGACGATGCCCAGTTAGCCATGGCTGTCCAGCGGGTCCTCGGTGATTCTTTGCCGTCTTCACCGTCACATTCTTCGAGCAGGAGCGCGAACCAAGTGATGGAGGGCGGGCCCATGCGCAGGATGAGTGCGCCTCAAGAGGGTGTGTTGCATTGACAATATTGATATTGCTGGTATCTTGATCCGCAGCCAATGACAGTACAAATGGTCATGACGCTTGGCGGTAACAATCGCAATATATGTCGCAAGTAGTCAATAGCATTTGCGATTCTTGTAACGATAGTGGGAATGGCAGCAAGATTGTTTCTCGTAATTGTGTTCGCAAAGGTCGCAATATTCCTCACAAGAGGATTGCTGTTTGAGCGCCCGTAATGATCGCAATCATCGTAAGGTTCGAAATCAGGATGTCAGGTTGATCGCCGTAGGAACAGTGGACACTGTCTCATCATAGCAATGCCTCATGGGTAGTAGCCCTAGAAACTTCTCTCACTACGTGGTTCTATAAGTCGGGACAGTATCAGTCGTCGTTGCCGGCGGTGCTGGGAGGGCGAGTAGCAGCTGTGGGTGGGTTATGGCAGCGGTGTTTCACGGTACAAACGGTGGCAGTGTGGCACCAGGAGGAGGAGTACGAGCAATCGAGCTAGCACCAGTTGCAGTAATGGTACTTTAGCACATTTCTACGAGAACTCCTGCTGCTGCTGCTGCTGCTGCCTCTTCCCGTGCTGATGTGAGGGTCGCTACAGCTACCGCTGCTGCAGCAGCAACAACAAACAATAAGACGAACATCAACACCACCAACAACAAGAAAACTATGGCTATGGCTATGGCTATGGCTATGGCTACGACTTTGACAGTCCTAGTCCTGCTCCTCTTCCTCCTCCCACTCCGCTCCTATTTCTGTTCCTGCTATTTTCCTTTTCGTACTGCTAGTCCTATAGTCGCAGTCCTAGTCCTATTTCCATTCCCCGTCCTCCTCCTCCTCCTCCTCCTGCTCCTCCTCCTCCTCGTCCTACTACATCAACATCATCCACTACCACTACCACTACCACTAGCACGACCACCACCGCGAGCGCGAAAGACTAAGACCACCACTGTGAGCACTTCCATCACTGCGATTGCTGTTTCACGAAAGCTCTCACCCAGAGAGCCTTTCTTTGCAATACCCAGAACTTGCTCTGCTAGAAGGCGTACGGGGTGTGGGGGTGGGACCCCCTAAAAGTGGTGTCGTTCGGGTTCGGGTTGGTTTTGGCAGCTATCCCCTGCAGCACGGGGGCATTTTGGGGCGTGGCCCGCCACCTTTTTTTCGGCTCCAGCGGACTGGCGTTGAATCCTTAGAAAGAAAACATGGCTGTTTGCATACCTCTGCAAGCTGCGCAACTGTAAAACAACCCCACGTTTTGCCCCGCACCTTTAACAAGACGATCGCCTGCCGCTGGAGCTTTAGTCGCTCCCGCCCCCGGGTCTCAAGTTGCTGCTTCAGACGTGCTCGTTCTCCTGCAGCTGCCGCCTCCTCTGCATAAACTCCCAGACACTGATCATGCTGATGATGGCGATGCTCGTGTGGTGGTGAAAATGACTGACACCGACAATCAGAACGTCATACTTCTATTGATCTTGATGATTGCCGGGACTGGAGGTTCAAGTCGTGCATTTAAGCATTGTCCAATAAGACATACAGGGCGTCTAGTACAGCTGATTGAATCGCAACATGTCGCTAAGAGACCTGTTGTGCAGAGTTCCGGCATGCCATGTCCGAAAACGGAACATCATGCAGGCATTCCGGATTGCTCACGCAGTCGTCCTGCACCCAGCTGCAGAGGTGCAGGTGAGTCTAGCACTTCCTCCTGGCACATACAAGATTCTGAGGTCGCCACAGCTCCTGGTGTCTCATGAAGTACCGCTCCGCATTGGCAGCAGACCTAGGCACCCACTCTCAAAGGCAATAGATCTCTAGTTCCATAGAGCTATCTCTTTGCAGCATCGCCTTCAACACCCTGCGCAGCTGCAGTGGCAATACGGTCAATGGTTGAGTGGAAGCCACATACTAGATGTGCTAGCGGCTGCTAGCACGAGCAAGCTGAGATGCTGACAGCGTGTCCCTGCCACCTAGAGCGTAAACGCTAAATCCTATACAGGACTCGGAGCAATGTGACCCGTCTCGCAGCGCCAGGTAAGATACCCACCCAGCAGCGAATACCGCCTGGAGAAAAAACTAGCCGACAATATGTGGTATGCGACGTAGTAAAGACGCAAACATGGTAGCATGGTAGATAGCGACAGCGAGCTAGCAGAACATAGCTCTGATCTAGTACTCATGTTGTTCCGTCCGATGTGTTCTGCTTGATTATGGTGTGGCGGCAGGTCAGCCTCAGGCTCTCCACGCCACTCTCACAAGGAGCTGCCGAAACAGGACGAAGGTACTCGGGCTCTTGGGCTCTATTTGGGCCGAGGGGCCTCTTTCAAGTTTACGACTTGCAGCTGTGGCACTCCAGAAGATTGATTTACTTACCACAGTGTTGATGACAACTCATCTCCTTGACATCGCATCACACAGGCGTGTGTTTGTGAGTTTGTTTAGGGTGGGCGGGTGGTCAGTCAGTTCGATTGGAGTATGGACTGATAGGGGTGCTGTCAGCGACGAAGTGCTGAATGTGCTCTTTTGCACCGCGCGTGCCGTCGTCCCGAAAGCTTATCCATCTCGGTCCGTGCAGGTCCCAAAAAGAAGGTCGTCAAAAGCTCGCCGGCGCACCGTCCAGGCAGAGGTGGACCTATAATCCGGTTTAGACCAACTATATCTGGTTTTCGCTCGCCTTCCCGTGGTTCCAACTCAGGGTCATGCGCAGGTAGAGTAGTAGTCATACTCATCCGTAGGTGTTTTATCTTATGGGGGTTTAACACCAGTAGGTGCTTATAATGTCGATGGTTTTGAAACACCCAACAGTGATGATTATATGATGACAACAGCACAAATGGATAGAATAAGGGCAGAACTTATGGCAACGCCAAGAAGAAGCAAGCCAAGCAACAGCATTAACTGCATCAAGAGGTTTAGATGAAGCAATAAGTCAATCTATTCCTGCTGGCGTCCCTGTCCATTCAATGGTAACGGATGATGATGAAATGCCTCCTT